GGGAGAGGGCTGGGGCTCAGCGGCAAAGCGCCTCAGGGTTCACTCCTCCGCGCCACCCACCCGCACGAAGACAGCAACAGCAGATCAGCGCCGGCCTCCCGCTGCACTTCCCGGTGCCTCCAGGCTGTCCTACTTACCCGAGCGCCTGGGCGCTGGGGAGGCCTCGCTGCGGGTCGCAGCTGTCAAGGTGGAACACACCACCTAGAGACAGGCAAAACCTCCGCAGCGTGCCGAACTACAACCTTCCCGCCCCCGCCACGCTTCCGCCTCCTGACTGACCTGCGCCAAGGAAACGGAAGTCCCGCCTCCCTCATGGACACAACGGACACCGCCCACAGCCTCAATACAGATTTGCTTCCTTTCGGAAGAGTGACAGCCGAAGAGGCTCATGGGAGACGCAGGAGGTACTGTTTGGAGGTGGGGCCCAATTGGGGGCGGGACCAAGGCGGAGACTGTTAATCAGGGGCGGAGCGGGGAGTAGAAGAGTCCCTAGCACCGAAATTGACTGGCAGTTCCAAGGAAAGAAACCCTCCGTCTAGCAGATCTTGGCCACCAAGTGAATCCATTTCAGCTGAGCCTCAGAGGGAGTCTAGACTAGCTTTCAAGCCTTAACAACCATGTCGGGTTGCGGGTCCAAACACACACAAATCCCAGGGATATTTCACGTCTAGTTTGCATATTCAGAAGGAAAGCACGGAACAGGTAGAAGTTTTTACTGCTGTGCAGTAAATTGTATTTTAAGTTCATGTGCCATATCTCAAAATACCAAGACACTACTAGTAGGATCACCTGATGCTTCATTCTAGCATAATAGATTGAGCAAGCATCAATTATTAACTCATTTACCTTATAAAGAAATTTGCACTGATATGAGTCAACTGTTAGCTGATTGATTCCATTTTGCACCTTTTCTCCTTGAACATATGTTTTGTTTGTTGCTATTATTTTGCAGTACTAGGGATTGAACCCAAGGGTACTCTACCTCTGGGCTACATCCCTAGCCCTTTTTATTTTGAGATAGGTCTTCCTAAATTTCCCAGGTTAGCCTAGAACTTGCAATCCATCCCCTTCAGGCTTCCCAGTTGCTGGGATTACAGTTGTGCACCGTAGTGCCCTGCTGAATTTGTTTTTAATAATTGATGCTTGCTCAAAAATAAATGTTTATGATGCACAATTTTGTTGTGCATGAATCCTTGAAGGAAACAATAATTTCAATACCAAGAATTCTGTACTCCACAGCATGCAATTATTGACTGC